AAGCACGTCGCCGAATTATGCGAATGATGTGAAATGCGCAGCTCTCCAACGCACGTTGAAAAAGATGCAAGGAAAGGAACCTGCAAAAAATTTGTTATTGTCTCAGAGGATGCGTGAATAGCAGAGAATGCCAGGCCGTTGCCAAAAAGAGGCAGTTCCAGCAGACAGATGATTTTACTAGGGGGGCATGGTGATCATACTGAGAAGGGAAGGTTGGTCCATACAACAAATCTCAGCTGACACGTACTTGGACGCGTCCACAATGCACCGGCTGTGGCGACGATGGTTGGAACAAGGAAATGTGGCAAGTTCGAATGGTGCCGGTGCAGTCAGAGTGACGTCAACACGCGTGGATTGACGCATCCGCCGACAAGCGGTGATGCACCCGCAAGGCCCAATCTATCTCCATTCTGCAGCATGTTCAAGACGCCCTGGATGTTCCCATGTCAACCAGAATCATTTTCCGTCGATTGGTGGCTAGTGGCCTGCACTCGTGGCGTCAGTTAAGAAGACTGTCATTGACCTCACATCATAAACGCCAATGTCTGCAATGGTGCCGGATTTGGCCGACTTAACGGCACAGAGCCATGACCTCAGATGAGCTACGCCTTTGTTGCTCCAATGATAGTGGCTCCGTACGACTGGGCCGTCGATGTAGAGGCAGGTCCAATTCGGCAGCAAATGTGGAAAACCCTACTGCTCGACAACGTGGCATCATGGTTTGGGGCGCTATCGCGTACGATTCCACGTTACCTCTAGTTCGTATTCACGGCACTATGACGGCCCAACGATATATGGATATAATGTGCTGCGGCCGGTGGCACTCTCCTACCTTCAGAGAGTGCCCAGTTACCTTTATTAGCAGGATAACGCTCTATCCCACATTGCTTGCATCAGCCAACGTGCTCTGTAAGGTGCGCAGATGCTTCTCTGTCCACCGTCCTCTCCTGATCTCTCAGCAATCGAACACATTTGGAATGTGCTGTTGCCGCGTTCAGAAAACAAACTGGGGCAAATGGTAGACAGGGAATAGAGAGCCATTCCTGAAGATGCCATCCGTAATCTCATTGACTGTGCACCTTGACGTGTTGCTTCGTATATCACCGTCCAAGGTGGCTTCGTGTAGCGGCCAAGGCTTCGCGTATCGCCGTCCGACGCTGTTCTCGCTCTGTATTATGCATATCATTTCGAAATGAAGATCACTTATTGTTCGTTGCTGTCTCTCTGTTTGCCGAATTTCATGAACTTTTGGCCACTCTTTCTTGGTGTTGCATTTTTAATGTCGGGTAATGTATATAATGTTTGTTTTATTTCATGCATAAAGACATTTTCTATGTTCATGTGAAATTAGGTGTTAATCAAAGCAATGTTTGTCCATTCTTGTTGATTTTACCGTCGCCTTCTCAACTTTTGGAGGTCAGTGGAGTTTAATTAATATGCTACACCTCTTTCAAAAGTCACTGAGCAAAATTTGTGCGAAAAATATTTCTTACCGAATATAATATTTGCTAAGCTTGTATTTGAACTGCGACTACTGAAAATCGGAATAATTATAAATTAATCTTTAGAATCAGAAGGGCGCATTTAAAAAAGAAACTACCCTGCAATTCAAACTAATTATTAATTTTTCATTTTAATTAAATATTTCAGCATTTAACCTTTTATACGGAAAGGTGTGAGTACGCTTTCCTTCTCTCTCCCTTTTTTCGTAAATGGCTTTATTTTTTTTTCCTCTTATTTAGCTCTGAGAAAAATGACCACAATATTGAACGATTGTCCTTGGGATTTATTCGTTGTAATGACAAAAGCTCGATTAATGGAAAACTGTCTGTTTAGAGAATGAAGGGAATGTATGTGGCTGTTAACGCATTATATATTTGAATGAAAAAAATGCTGTGGCGTTTTCATTCGTGCCAAGATGAACTTGTGCTTTCATAATTTTTTGAAACATTACTGTTTATGTACGCACTAATGTACACTATTCGAATCACGAATGCCGCTGCCTACGCATCTAACTATCTAACGACGTATCTAAATACCACATCTAAATTTCTGCAAGCGGTGGTTCAGCTATAATTCTATGATCAAATACTCAATCTAGTTTTAAAAGATTTATTAAAATACTAAAATTAATCTAATTTAGAATCTAGAATCGAATCTAATGTTACATCTCATGAGCAGCGTTCTAGCTGCGTCATAACAAATCGAAAGTCAAGTTCTCACTGTTGCCATTCTGAGGCAGAGAAAAGTTTGTTTCTAATCAAACCGGAACATCGGCAGAGTGAAAGTTTCTAGTCAAACCGGAACATCCCGGCCCCCGTTGGATGATTGTCCAACATCATTTGGAAATGGGAGTGGACTGATATTGGAGACGGCTCGGCGAAAGATTCCATCTAAAGTTCTGACGTCTACGACTCGTACTAGTCCATCTGGACCAGGAAAGGTCCCTCGATGCGAGCTAGTGTCCACTTCATGGGTGTCTTCTTTTTATCCTTTAACAAGACTAGTTGTCCTGCCTTGAGATTGGACCTCACTTGATTCCATTTTGAGCGGTTCTGCAAATGATTAAGATATTCCACGCTCCAACGGTTCCAGAAATTAGCTCTAAGTTTTTGAATTAAGGTCCATCTAGAAGACAAGGTCAAAGAATCTACAGAATTCTTTGACCATTCGGTTTCTGGTATCGACAAAAGTGGAGCTCCTATTAGGAAATGACCTGGAGTCAAAGGCTGAAGATCTGTTGCATCAGCCGAAATAGGTGATAGAGGTCGAGAGTTCAAGCAGGCTTCTATTTGTGTAATTAATGTATACAGCTCTTCAAAGTTTAAAATTGTCGTTTTCGCGACCTTTGTCAAAATTCTCTTCATTGATTTTATATTAGCCTCCCATAACCCGCCAAAATGCGGGGGAGGAAGGAGGAATAAATCTCCATGTTACACCTTCTTCGGAACTAAAGCGCTGAATAGGATCCGATCTACAAATTCTAAAGAGTTTATCAAGAACATTCTTCGTTCCCTTGAAGTTCGTAGCGTTATCACTCCAAACAATGGATGGTTTAGATCGTCTGGCAATAAACCTTCTAAGACATGCTAGAAATGCTTCAGTAGACAAATCCGATACTACTTCTAGATGAATAGCCTTTGTACTAAAGCAAATAAATATCGCGATGTATGATTAAACGTAACTCTAGATCTTTTCAAATTAGGCTTGGTGATAACTGGACCTGCAAAGTCCAGTCCTATTTTTTCGAATGGTCTAGTTATTACAACTCTATCTCTAGGTAAGTCTCCCATCATTTGGTTTATGGTTTGGTTCCTTGTTCGAAAGCACGTCATGCATTTACTTATAACGCGTCTAACTCTATCTTGTCCGGAAGGTATCCAGTATAATTGTCTAATAAGAGAAAGTGTTGTTTGAACGCCCGAATGAAGAGATTTTTTATGATAATAATCTATGAGTAATTCAGTGAAATTATGTCTTTTGGGTAAAAGAAGTTGATGTTTCTGGTCTTCTGAAAGATTGGAGAAACGTAGTCTCCCACCAACTCGTAAAAAGTTCATCTTCATCGAGAAATACATTTAAGGATAAAACCTTATTATTACTTGGAACTGATCGTTTCGACTGCAGGCAATTAATTTTAGGTTGAAATTCAGAATGTTGTACACATTTGACTAGCACCTTTGTTGCATTCTTTAGCTCAGAAGCACTCAAAAAACTTTCTTTTCTTAATGGTGGATTGGTTCTACAGTTGTTCGCAAACCTTAAACACCACGCAGTAGTAGTTTCTAATCAATTTGCTGAATGACGAATACCTTTTAATGAATTCGTTCTCAATGGAATTTTCACCTGTGACTGTTGAGTTCACTACAGCTTCCCTTCGAAGTTCAAGCTCTTCATTATCCTTGAAATCTCTTACTGATTCTGCAAGTTTAGGCCACGAATCGATGCTCTGTAATAGCCACTTAGGTCCATGCCACCACATGTCACTATTTCGTAGTTCAGACAACGTTATTCCTTTCGTGGAATTTGTCTTTGTTCCTCTGGTCAGCATATCAGCCGGATTTTCATCTCCAGGGCAATAATTCCAGGACTCAGGTGATGTTTTCTCTCGTATTTCCATTACTCGATGTTGGATGAATGGCTTCCATTTATTTAAATCGCCCTTTATCCAATGTAACGTAACAGAAGAGTCTGACCAAAAATATACATTCATCTGGAGTCTTTTTCTCTAACTGTTCTTTCACATTCGAGGCTAATCTTGCTCCGATGAGCGCCCCCATCAGCTCTAATCTTGGAAGGGACAGCTTCTTCAGTGGAGCTACTCTGGTTTTGGAAATGACAAAACTACTTCCTATTTCACTGTCCGTCGTGACGTATCGCAGGTATATCACAGCTCCATATGCCTTCTGACTTGCGTCGGTAAAGCAATGCATTTGAATATCTCTCAATTCAGACTTGTTAGTCTTTCGGAAGTAATGTCGCGGAATGTTTACATCCTGAATCGCTGACAGTTCATTAACCCATTTTTTCATTCTTTTTCCATTCTGTTTTTCAAAGTCTGGTAACGGATCATCCCAATCTACTCCAAGTTGCCAAATTTCCTCCATTAGTATTTTTGCCCTAATAGTGAATGGACTTATAAATCCAATGGGATCGTAAAGCTTTCCAATGGTTTTAAGAACTTCTCTTTTTGTCATTAACTTTGTTTTCCCTTGATTAGTTAGATTTTGTGATTCTATCTTCAGAAGGTCTTCCTTGTAATTCCATTTATATCCCAATACCTTCTGTTCCAGAACTTTCTGGATTTCACCATTTTCGTATTCGTCAAAAACTTCCTGCAGATTCCCACAATTTGTTTTCCATTTTCGCATGTTGAAACCAGCAGCCTTCAAAATATATCTAATATCTTCATATATGAGTTTGGGCTTCGTTCGAATTTTCGTTTTCGTTTTTCCCATGTCTTATCCCACCTTATTCCAAATCATTAGGCAATCTAATAATCATATATGTTTGGCTTCGTTTTCGTCTTCATCCCCACCTATTAAATCGTCTACGTATAAACATTCGTTCAATAGTTTAACTGCTTTCTGATTTGTTTCTTTAAAGGTATTTATGTGATGTTTGATAGTAGCGGCAAGCAAAAATGGGCTGGATGTAGCTCCAAACAAAACGCGAGTCATCCTAAGTATTTTCGTGTTAGGTTTCCCATCCTTATCTGTAAGGTTATTTGCCCACAAAAATCTTACAGCATCCCTATCTTCAGGTGACAGAGAAATCTGGAGAAAGGCTTGTTCAATGTCGGCAGTAAATGCTATGCTATGTGTACGAAATTGTATTAATATCTCTAACAATGGTGGATTTAAATTAGGACCGGAATAGAGACAATCGTTTAAAGAGTATTCATTTTTCGAATGGCTGGATGCATCAAATACAACTCTCACGGGTTTGTCAGGTCGAATAACTGGCTGGTGAGGCATGTAATAAATTCTTCCTGTTTCTTCAGAACTTGGATCAATTTCCTCAGCTATACCCATTTTTAAATGCTGTTCTATAACTGAGTGATACTGCTGATGAAGCAGTGGATCATTTCTCAACCTTTTAACCAGTTTATTAAAGCGAACTTCTGCATTTACGTAATTCGTTTTTAATTCAGACGAATGTTCATTCCAAGGGAGTTTAACCTCATATCGCTTTTCTTTAAATTTGATAGTTCTGTTAAAATTCTCTAAAATGTCATTATCTATTTTACTAATTTCCTTCCCTTGTTCAATTCCCAATGTTTCTAATTCCCAAAACTGCTTTAACTGTGTTGAGACCAATTTGTCGTCAACAATAATGTCCATGTTTAACAATTCACCGTTAGAATCAGTCCGGCCTTGAAGGCACCATCCAAATATTGTTTCGGAAGCTATAAGTTTATTTTTAAAACGTTTAAGTCTACCAGTTATTACTTCATGATAGTAATCTGCTCCGATCAAAACAGCAATATTTTTGTCACTGAATTCACAAGAATCAGCTAATTGCAATCCTATTATCTCTTTGTTAATTTTGGAAACTGGGATATCAGGGAAAAGCAAATTAGTTGCACATATTTGGTTTAGTTTCTAAAGCTTCAATTTCTATATTTAGGGGTGGTTCACTTCTGTTTTCTGTTTTCACTTCTGTTTTCTAGTTTGACTTTAACAACATTGTAAGTTTGTTCTGTTGCCTGGTTAACCCCAAAGGCAAATACGGACAAAGTTTCCTTTCGAATAACAGGTAATTTACACTTCTCTGAAATGTCCCGAATTATAAAACTTCTCATCGATCCATTGTCTAATAGAATACGAACTGGTTCTAAATTATCCTTCTCAGAAAATGGACGTATCATCACAGTACACGTTTGTAGCAATGCACTGCGGAAAGTTTCGGTTTTTAATTGACTAATCTGAACATCTTCTTTACTGGATGGAATTGTCGACACGACCTTGTTTTTCTCCGATTTGGTTTCGAGTTGGAAACAAATAGACCTATTGTGTTTTTTATTACATATTTCGCACATTTTTCTTTCCTTACACTGCTTAATTTTATGCTGAGATTTTAGGCACAAAAAACATCGGGCTTGAGATTTTAAAATATTTCTTTTCTCCTCCACGGTTTTAATTTCGCAGCGCTCCGAATCGTGTAGTTCGTCACAATATATGCATTTACTGCTAGCGACTGGAGCAACATATTCATACGTTTTAGGCGAACTTCTTTCAAACTGTTTACTGCGCTTGTTGTTTACATTATCGTGAGCGGAGTGGAGACGATCGTTTGATTTATGCCTCCAGTTATGAATCATTTCCGCTCGGGGTTTTGTTTTTGTTTCTCTACCGTCATTTAACTGCGTAGCTCTTTCGCGGCTTACGAATAAATTCCATTAATTCGTTAACGTTCCGTGCTTGGTCACTGTTTCTACTGCGACTGTATTCTAATGTTATCTCTGATGGAATTAATTTTAACAATATTGGGCAAAGTAAACTACCGTAAGTTTCTGATACGACGTTCATTGACTTTAAGCATTTAATTTGAGTTTCACACTGATCATATAAATTTCTAAGATTTTCTATATCCCTTATATTTTTAACAGGGAAAGATTTAACAGTTTATTCATGTGAGCATTTATTACCAAATCTTTTCTCCCAAACCTGTTAATTAACAATTGTATAGCTGAATCGTAGTTCTCCTTTGTAAGCGAAAGTCCGGAAACGGCATTATAAACTACCCCACCTAGTAATGACTTTAAGTAACTGAACTTATTTACTTTCGATAATGAGTCATTGTTATGGATAGCTGCCTCGAATTGACTCCAAAATTCCTGCCAATTGCTAGAATCACCAAAAAATTTAGCGATAGTCAATTTTGGAAGGCGAATAATTTTATTATTTTCAAGTTTGGAATCTATAGCGGTTTCATTAGGATCCGAATTTTCGAGTTTGTGTAATTCCCTCAATTTTTTTCTTGCTCTAAATTGCCACAGTTGGATTTTTTCTTCATATTCTAGAGCGGATGAAACTTCAAGTTCAAATTCATCCTCTGGGACCTTCAAATCCTGTTCTATTTGAGTGTTTAAATCACTCAGAGTTTTTGCCTTTTCGTTTAATATGTCTAAAGTTTCTTCTATTACATTTATACTAACGTCATCTTTGCTTAATTCTGTCTCAATTTTCTTTAGTACCTTGGACACTGCGGTCCTTAATACTTTGCGTTTCGATTTAAGCTTAGCGACAGGATCTTCCATAATTACTTTAAAATAGAAAACTTATCCTACCTGTTTTTTGCAGGCTTCGCACACTTCACACCGTGCTAATCCATACTTACGAATCCATATTTTCGAATATTAGCCGACTTCCCGGCATATAGCACCCAAAAAATGTTTATGTACGCACTAATGTACACTATTCGAATCACGAATGTCGCTGCCTACGCATCTAACTATCTAACGACGTATCTAAATGCCACATCTAAATTTCTGCAAGCGGTGGTTCAGCTATAATTCTATGATCAAATACTCAATCTAGTTTTAAAAGGATTTATTAAAATACTAAAATTAATCTAATCTAGAATCTAGAATCGAATCTAATGTTACATCTCAGGAGCAGCGTTCTAGCTGCGTCATAACAAATCGAAAGTCAAGTTCTCACTGTTGCCATTCTGAGGCAGAGAAAAGTTTGTTTCTAATCAAACCGGAACATCGGCAGAGTGAAAGTTTCTAGTCAAACCGGAACAATTACTTTAGAATTAGGTGTGTACCATTACGCCAGCATCTCTTGGTCTTCCAATATCTTACATGAAGTATCTCTCTATTTTACAGTAAGTGATTCCTTCAAGGGAAAAAATTTAACTAGCCCTTTTAAATCCTGGATGGAATTCCGTTATTTTGAATTCAGAACTTTGAAATTTCAGAGTTTTTGTTTTCCCTTTTTCTGTTTCCTATAATGACAGCTTGCATATGGATAACTTTTCTCATTCCAGAGGACAGTAAAATCTGTTTGCTTTTGCAGTTTACTAACTCAGAACAATTAAGACGTATTGAGAAAATTACAATACAAAATTGATGGAAATTGTTAATTTACAAGAAGGCACGCTAAGGTATTGTTCAAAATTTACAGAGACTGTAATAAATAATGCGATGATTGCGTCTATAGTTATTTACTATCAAAGGTTCCAACTGTGAGATATCGCGACATCCTTATTTTTGATGCTTACCTTCCAGGAGATGCGTGGCAGTTTTCACTAGATCTATCACTTTAAATCCATTGGCACATCACTTTAAATTTATATCCATTACTGTTATTATCTACTTTGCACTGGATCCATCATTTTAAATTTACATTCATCACTGCTGTTATCTGTTTTGCATATTTTTATTATTACGCGTCAATCCTGCTATATGTTCATATATACAATTGGGTATTTCAAAACTTAAATATCTCTTGAATAAATCCATGCTTACAAATTAAGAAATAGTTAAAAGAAAATAGATTTCCAAATTATTATAAGTGTTGTCAATAGACAAAAGTAAAAGAAATTTAAAGTTTTGCATACCTATGAAGAACTATGAAGAGCATTAAAATTTGTGCATGTGTACAGGGGCGTAGCTAGAGGGGGGCAAGGGGGGCATCTGTCCCCGGGCGCAGAATCCAAGGGGCGCCAAACTGATGTTACGACATTTTAGAATTAAATGTTTTCCATCCTTGGCAAGCAGTAGGGGGCGCGAAATCTTCAGTTGTCCCTGGGCGCTGAAAACCCTAGCTACGACTCTGCATGTGTAACACTAAAACCTTTTAGATAGACAAAATTAAGCATGGTAGACTCAAAATAATCCCATTATATTTTTCTAAATACACCCCATACGATTAACACTCTTTGAAATTAACTCAAGCCATTCCTAAAAACAGGTGGGGTATAAGTGAACAAGACACCAAAACTTTATCAGTGGTCGTACGTCCCACCGCACTAACGATGCAGTTCCATCTCAGTTTTGGGAGAGAATACCCTCCCCCCCCCCAGAGAACGAATCCGAGGATATCCTACCCCACTTTCACTACCATTTATCCCATGGAGGTAAGAAAGGAAGGAGTGGCCAAATCGGCATTAGAAGTGAAACACTGCTCCGAAGCTTCGGTCACCAAATGGGGTGTTTTTTGTTTACATTCAGAAGCTCGCTTGACAGCGCTTTGATAGTATTTCGACACACGACAGTTCCATACAAAGCGAAAAACTGGACACTTTCGTATAAAAGAAACATTCCTTAATATGATAGATAACAGCAATTTGTATAGTTTAGCGACATTTACGCAAAAATCACATCTTGTTTATTTTTCGATAACTAACAGTAGCGATTTTGATTATGAATTTGTTTCATAAAATTCTAAGCTGTTGAACTATAAAAATATAGATTTTAGCAAAAACGTTATGCTTAAAGAATGAAAAATACCTCACCATACCTTTTATATATATACATATATAAAATTGTATATAATTTTCGATACCCTTAATACAGTATTCGCTACTTTTATTTTATGTTCCATACGTCAAAATGTTTTAAATAAAATAAATTTTTTTCACATCCCCATATTATTGTAACATGTACTTTTTAAAATTAGTGTAATTACTTTACTTGAAAAATATAGTGAATGCCCAGAAATTAAAGATTTCCACATGCCGGAAATGAAGAATATGAAATATGTATGGGTATTTATGCATGTGCTTTCAAAAAGCATGTATCTGCCTTTAACAAAATACGTAAATATTTATTAAATTATTTATAAATGTATTTGAAATGAAGGATTTATTCATTCATAAATAACTGTGAAAGTTACTGTGAAGAAATCTAATTATTAAATGTATCTAAATTTATAATGATTATAAATATTATCTAAATAGATTGACATCGTGTTGACAAATACATTATAAAACTGTTTAAGCAAGAATTGTTCGTACTGGAAAGCAATCTGTTAAAAGGTTAAATTGTAAAGCAATTTCTATGAGATGCGTATTTAAGAAAGTAATAAAGAAGAGTTTTGGAATATGTATTGTTGAAATTAAGGGAAAAAATATAATAATTAAAAGAATTATTCCCCTTACATTTTATAATAAGTCAGTTACAAGTTTTAAATAATATTTAAAAAATAATCCTTACTTTATTCCCTTTCAAAAATATTCAGAGAAAGTTTAAGTACATTTAAGTATTTCGCTATTAAATTAAAAGGTGCTCTAATTTGAAATGGACCGAATAGAACATTTTTTTATAAACGACTTATAGTTTTCGATTAAAGATACCTTAGAAGTAAAAATCATGTCATAGAGAAAGTATTTACGAAGAGCTCTATAAATAGAAAAGAAATAATGCATAATTTTAAATATACAATAAACTTTGATCTTAATTTTTGTAATCCTTAACCGAATCAAATCGACTTACCTTAAATTTTTTTTCTAATATAATTAACGAAAACTTGTAAAAAATATTTCAAATGAAACCATTCTGAGCAAACAGTTCTGTGAAAAGTATAGCATTTTTCCGTTCAGAATGAAATGTTGTTTAAAAATGTATTTTTTTCATATACTTAGGACTCTGAAGTATTGTAGAAAAAGGAAATATGTACATTTATATGCATATTTACGCCGTAATTACAAAATATTTACATCCGATCGTGTCAAAGCCCATTGAACTTAATGGTAAATTATCCAATGTTTTGGTCACCAAACAAAGGATCGCCAGTTCTACAAAGCAGGGTATGGGGAAACCGGTTTAAGGCCACTCCATCTAACTTCCTATCTCCATGATTTATCCGTTCAAGAAAACTTTCAGCTTACCAGTATTTTCTGCCACCTCGCACAAACATTATACATTTATAAACTTCCATGCGTTCTCCTGGATTCGAACCTGGACCCACCGACACGGCAGCCAGCATCGCTAACTACTATACCGATTAAAGTGACATTCCTTAAATAAGTATTCCCACGTAGTGGGAAGCCCATACTCAATGCACCGGATAAAGGCAGTAGCTCTTGCATCGGAGACAGGAAATCACGTTCTGTGCAACGGTTCCTTGATTTTTAAAAACAGTCACATGGCACAAAGTCTAGGTGGTGATACCTTGAGCCACTTATTTGATGGAGCAATGGAAAATTTTCACTGGTTTCATAGCTTTGCTTTTTACCCAGAATCTGTTGCACGACCACCGACAAATAAGCAATCGTATACCATTTGCCTGCTTTGGTACGATGCTGTGGTAATGATATTATGATAGCATGATTTGTCCGATTGAAGAAGATGATAACCATTTGTTTTTCAGCACTGAGTCTCTGCTTCACTTTTATTGATTTGCTTTCCCGAAAGACCCATTGCGCCGACGGGGCACATAATAGTATACAGATGTTTTCGTCCCCTAAGATGATATATATTGAATAGGATTGCCTTTGATAACTCCTTCAAACATTTCCGCGCATCAGTTGACCTTGTGCTTGCTTTTGCCGAGTTTCTGTTCAAGAAAGATTCATAAGCAAAAAAAGCTTTTAAATAGTCCTGCAAATGTCTCATGCCAGCGTCTAGGAATAAAGGAATTCCCGAGTACAAAACCTTGTCGTTCTTTTCAGTCGTACGTCTTGCTCTGCCAACGTTTTTCTTTGTCGTCGCAGTCACAGAACGATCGTCATATTGTTTGCCATCCAGGTTTTGTCATTCACGACAGAACTCACCAAAACCATTTAAAAACAATTTGTATCACATGGGGCCTCAATCTAAACTGCAGGTCATGTCATCATCACCGAAAGAACAGGTGATGGTGGTCATGTTCATTGGAGGGTATTTTTTATGGCAATTAATCTAATAAATTCATAATTCGGAGATATTTTCACGATCTTTCTATTTTTCTTCTGACATACGAACGCAGTTTGCCTTTTTCTGGAGACAAAACAATCCCACAGTTCAGTTTTGTTGTACTGCCACACGCCACAGGCTCTTGCTTAAAACATAACGGCGTAACGTAATCATGTTTCCTTCTGTAATGCCAAATCTAAAGCATTCTTTAAAAGTTATTACTTATCCTTATTAAGGATCTTTTAGAACAAAACTGAAAACCAACATGTTATATACCAAAAACAAGTTAAAAAATTTCAAAACTTTACAGGATCTTACTTTTTAAACTATCATTCAAAGATACTATCTTAGTAATAAGCCAGGGACTTCTCGCCCAGGCGTGAAGAACTAGAACACAGTGAAAGGGTTTAAAATGGCCCTTCTATTTGATTTAAACTCTTTAAGAAAAAATGCACGTACTCCGTGCTCATAATAACACCGACTATTTGCGGTTTGAACTTAGAGT